TCAGTGAAAAGCGCTGTAATATGTCTTTGATATTACACATTTGGGCAATTCCACGTTAATGTTACGTTAGTCTGTACTTAACTACGTATTTCACTAAAAAATGCAACATTTTAACTCGGTTTTTGGTAGATTTTTACGTGACTAACATAAGGCTACTGTGGAAGTGCCCATTTCGGTTACAACGACATTCGTTTATAACGACACTATTTTTAGGTCCCTTTGATGATGTTATAACCAAGTTCTACTGTATATTCAGCAGACACAGATTTGATGAGGTGTGCAAAATATATGGCCCCAATTTCTGGGCAAGGAACATCATTTGTTAATTTGATGTTCACTAATCTTTTGGTGGCAAGATAAAACTCCTTGGGTTAATCCCAGTCAGAACTGAATAGTGTCTGTCTGATTTCATGACAAGGAGACATCTTCGATATTTAACTTGGGCTGTTCTTTTAATATTTATGTTTAAGAGTGAGGGGAACACTAAGCAGTGTCCACTTTGCGCTAAACAGTTGATGTATAGATAACAGTAGCTGTGTTTTAAGTAATACTCATTTATAGGTTTTCCTAGTCATTCAAGATGGTTAATGGCAGGATTCCATCAGTCTTTAGTAAGACTTATGTTACTCCAAGAAGACCTTATGAAAAGGCCCGCCTTGATCAGGAACTGAAGATCATTGGAGAGTATGGTCTGCGAAACAAGCGTGAGGTGTGGCGTGTAAAATACACTTTGGCTAAGATTCGTAAGGCTGCCCGAGAACTTCTTACTTTAGAAGAGAAGGATCAGCGTCGATTATTTGAGGGTAAGTTCATTTGTGTTCCAGCTATTCATGATTATTATTGTTTTATTTAGTGACACATTATATTCGGTCATATAGCATGAAATTATAGTATGCTGAATTGGGCAGGCTCTCCTGGCATTTGCTTAGAGGCACTGAGGAAAACAGTGATAATTTTTTTGCATCTGCAGAACTGACATCTGGACCAAGATTTGAGCTTGATATCTTCTGAATTATGAAGCAAATTTATGACCACTCTTGCTGGAGGAGTCTGGATGAAGGAAATGCATTGCACTTTGTAGTTTCATGACCAGAAAAATGTGGGTAAATTGAGCATATGTAACAAGAATGGCAAGAGCTTATTCATATTTCCTTTGCAGGAAATTTGTTTTGAGTGATTTAAGTATGGGGTACTTAGTTAAACTTTGTTATTGTGGTAGACCATGCTGTATGTGATTTTAGTATTTATTCTAGAAGTGTTCTGTTCATTCATTCATCAGTAATCTGTCAGACGACAGGTCCACAATCTCTTCCAAAACAGTTCCTCCACTTAATGCGATCTTCTGTTTTTGGAAAGAGACTATCCAGGAAAAGTGATAATGTGGTAGTTTTTCCATTTGCTTTCCACATCGCAGTACAGCAGCCGTTCAAACCACTCTGGTCACGCCTGTTGCTATACGAACTTGAACCATCTCGAGCATCATTTGTTCTGTGCTTCAAGTCGCTACTGATGACGCTGCTTCCGGCATCAGTTTTTGGTTTTTGGTGTCTCTCTGTTCTGTTATACATGTGCAAATGAGTGACATCTCCTATTTCTTCTTTCTTCCAAGTCTTACCTGTTCAATTTATTGTCGACTCTTCTCATGATGTCATCAGTACCTGGCTCACCCATCTTGTTCTTAGTTGTTCCATATGACTCCTTTAATTATTAATTCTGATGTCTTTGGCAGCATCCTTACTCCATTTTTGTGGCCAGAGCACTGTAATTATTGTAACTCTTTATCAAATTTTTAATTCTTACCTTTCTAAAAACATTTCTAATTGTCAAATTTTCTTCAATGCTTGTAAAAAAATTTCATGTACATCACTTGGATTTAGCTTTTGTTTCTATTAGTAAGGATCATTCCAGTGGCTCCACATGAAAGTGTGTCACATGGAGAGTTTTAGTTTATAGTAGTGGACATAAAATAGTTGGGTCATAAGTGTCCTCTGTAACTGTCAGAAAAATTTGGACACCCAGGAATCTAGTGGCATGGCAGTATGTACTGTGTTATACATTCAACATTGAACTGGATGGTTGGTGTTTCTTAAAAATCTGGCACCAGCTAATGCATTTGCATAAATTATAATCGGGCACCCATTTGACATGGGCAAGGTAGCAGACATGGTGGTCAGTAGATTGATAGCTTGCGTTATAATTATTAATTCAGTAGATGGTGTATTATCTGATTTGTGCTGGAAACGTTGAAGAATGTACCGTATTTACGCATATATAGGCCACACATTTTTTGCCAAAAATTCAAGAGGAAAACTGGGGTTCGGCTTATATTCGAAATCACACTTCATTTAAAAAAAATATATTCATAATTAGTAATACAGGGTGTTCTACTCCTGAAATAATATTCCAAGAAAATTATTTTTTCTATACTTTCTGTCTGAAAATTGTGCTGCGGCCTATACATGCGTAAATATGGTATTTGCTTTTCTGATGTTAATGTTAAGGCTTTTTAATTTGTTTATTTGGTTAGTAGATCAAATTGATGAAAGGAACCCTGTTGCAGTTGTTTGATTTTATTTTTTATTGTGGGAAAGTATTCATACGGAACATAATCCAATTCAGTGATAGTTCCCCAGCAAGAGTACAGTGTCTTTCAAAATCATCTGAATTCTCTGACTCCCATGGTCAGCTTGTTAGCTGGAAACTCCCAAGAAAAGTCTGGATTGGAAGTTAATATGCACCATATTATAAACATGGCCATGCACTTACTAAAGTAGATAAATTATTCAGAAGGACCTGCCATCACATTAGATACACAAAATGCCTTCCATTTGGTCATAAAGTTAACTCTCTTGAAACGTTTGGCACCAGTTTGAGTTCACGGACCACAGTAGAGTAATTATTTTGCGGATCTTGTTTTTAAGTTCATCCAGTGACCGCCTCTGTGGTCTAGTGGTCAGAGGTCCAGGTTCGATTCTTGGCGCTACCAGATTTTTTCTGAGAAGTAGTGGTTCTGGAAAGGGGTCCACTCAACCTTGTGGTGATAATGAGGAGCTGTTTCAAGGAAATAGCAGCTCCAGTCTAGAAAACCGAAATTAACAGCTGTGGGGATTTGTTGCACTGACTACATGACACTACATCTGCTAAAGTTGGCACTATTCTTACAAGTGGCAGTCTCTCGGTTGGTATAGTTCGCTAAAACAACAGAGTTTGTTTTTTGTTTGTTATAGGTAATGCACTCTTGCGTCGCCTGGTTCGTATTGGAGTACTTGACGAGAGTCGTATGAAGCTTGATTACGTTCTGGGTTTGAAGATTGAAGACTTCTTGGAGCGACGTCTCCAGACACAGGTGTTTAAATTGGGACTGGCAAAGTCGATTCATCATGCTCGTGTTCTTATTCGCCAGAGACACATTCGGTAAGATGTATGTGTGTTAGCATGGTCCCATATTCTGGGCAAGGGCATTGTTATTTCAATGATCAGTTTCTCATTTTCTTGGGGCATTTAACTTTCTGGCCACAAAAATTTCTCAGACAATTGCTAATTTGCAGCATCAACTTTTGTCTTTCTCTCGAGTCCCTTATACAGTGCGTACAATCAAGTGCGCGTCGCGGCTGCAATTTGCCGTGAGTCATACCACCGCAGAACGGATGCAGTCGCGGGGAGGAGTTGCAACTCCTCCCCGCAACTGCATCCGTTCTGCGGTGGTATGACTCACGGCAAATTGCAGCCGCGGCGCGCACTTGATTGTACGCACTGTATAACATTCATTGAAGTTGTATTTTCTGTTAGAAACATGATTTTCAATTTCTTCTGCCCGTTGAAGTATTTTCAGTTTTCCACTAATCATGAAAGACTGTAAATGCATGTCAGTACACATGTTTGGCAGAATGCACATAGCATCTCACAGATTGGGCCGCTCCATAGCTCGAGCGGTTAGTCGCTGGCTTCCCACAGTGGCGGCCCAGGTTCGGTCCCAGGTCTGGTCAAGTGTGATTTGTGGTGGACAAAGTGTTGCTGGGGCAGATTTTCTCCGAGTACTTTAGTTTCCCCTGCCAATCTTCATTCCACCAATTGCTCCACAATCACCCTCACTTATCATCTGGGGCTGGTACAATAGGCCAGGAGTGGCCACAGTACAAGGGACTTAGTCCCACCCCACTAGCAATAAAACTCACAGATTAATATTCATTCATTCATTCATTGCAGCTGTGTATGGTTTATGTGGAAGGAAGAAAAAGTTGTGCACTAGGAGTGAGTAGCATTACTATCCATGTTACAGATAAGCTGTGCCCCCAACTTGTAACTTCTGTCTATGAAGGAAAAAGTGCAGGGGGTATTTGAGAAAACATGGTGAATGTCTAATAAATCATTTCCGAATGTTTCAGAATCTAGATATCTGGAAACAGTGACAAAAGGAATCTAGATTCAAGAATGATAAATTAAATTTGAAAAATTAGTTGTATTGACTTTCCTGAATTCTGAAGATAAAAAAAATAATTTTGACTGTTCTGAATGGATGTGAAATGTGAAATATAATATGAAGATTACGGATTCTTTGAAATGTTGATATGTATGTATGTATGTAGATAGGATGTGAGAGACAAGAAGTGAATACATAATTTTGATGGATAAATCTCTAGGAAAACGGCCACTTGGGAGAGTAAAGCGATGGGGAGTTGGCCTATCAGGTTGATCTCAGGGAGGGAGGTTTTGAGATGGATGAATGTAGTTTAGGATCATGCAGTGGCACACTTAATTATTATTATTATTATTATTATTACATCTCATTATCATAGTTTTAATAATAGGAATCACTGGAAATATAAACCTCAGTCTGTTCAGATTTATATTAATGCCTTATACTTATAGTGCATTTCTGCATTAAGTGGTGTGTGTCAATTGCTGCCAGGTTTCGAGGGCTGCCAGTTAGGTGATGGATTTATTTTCAGACAGACCACTTGGGATGTGGGTTCTTGCAAGCCTATTCCCTACGTCTGTAAGATTAGACAGGACCGTGGAAGCCAAAAATAAGGTACTTCGAAATATTAAAAGATTAAGTTGTGAAACAAACTTGATACAGTAAACTTCAGCAGACTTCAGTTAAACTTGATAAATTTAGTGTAATTAAATCGGTAAAACAGTACGTGAGGAAACCAAAAGAAGATTCGAGCAGTTTGCTAAGTGTTGTTAGATCTGTGTGCATGTGCGCACCTCCTGTCAACCAGTTTTATAATTTAAATTGTATGTGTTTACGTAAAAACATCTGTTTTAATAATTGTGCTTGAGACACTATTAAGAGCATTGAAATGACATCAGGTGAAAAGGTCAGAAGTTCTCCTGCACATTTAACTTCCTGCCGGTTCTGTGGTTTATTATAGTAAAACAAAATCATTAAAATTGGTGGAATGTTGTTATTTTTCTGTTGTAAAATTGTTACAGATCTATATACTCGTACATAGCTAACACTTCAGTCTTTCACAATTGAAATTGTTTTTAAATGAAGTTCTATCGGTTATAAGTTCTATGGCAGTCTCCTGCTGTTTGTCATGAATAGTGCAGAAAGGCACAAAATCTGAGAGCTACAACAGCATGATGTGCCATGGACAGCCATGAATGTCGCCTTGCATAGGGGTGGATAATGTGTTGGTACCATTATGCTTTGTGGTCTGATGGTGTAACATACTTGTTATGCTTACCAAATAGTGAAGTGTACATAACTAAGTATAGAACACTGTAAAGGCCTTATGAGGGATATTTATGCAGTTTTGCACGGAACTGAAATATTCTTTGCCATTTTACTTCTGTGTACTGCAGCAGGGATGTAAACCCTGAGGTGGTATCTTGAAGTGGAAGTAACAAATGTAGTATTGTATTTAAGCATCCTGTAGCATCAGTATATCGTTTATTTCATACCCCCACCCCTTCCATTACCATGCAACTCTCGGTAAACACCCCCTCCCCCGTGGTGACGTGGCAGAAGAGCGACTGTGTTGTTACCAAAGGATACGACAGTTGCTACACAGCAGAAACAACTCTCGACCGTGTTGCTGGGCAACCTGTGAGCATGGTGTCAGGCAACAGTGGTACCTATTACATAATTGTTTTCTGTGTTGTTCGTGCCGAGGCTAAAGGAGCAGCGAACATTATTCAGGATTGAGTACATACACGTGTGTAATGATTTCCTGAATGTCTCTTGTTCTGCTATAAGAAGCAGTGACGGTGAATTGTGCTTTTAGGATCTTTCATCTCTGGTTACTGATGAGCATTTCATTGCCGTCTCCCTGTTATTTCTCTTGCAAATGAAGTGTATAATTGTAAATATGAGTTTTTACTGTGGCCGTCTTGCATGGTGAAAGTTTTTTTTTTTTATATATATATAGTTAGTTCCATTTATAAACTGCGTTGTTGCATCGTCTTGACAGACATTAATTTTGAACTGCAGGGTTCGCAAGCAGGTGGTGAATATACCCAGCTTCATTGTGCGACTGGACTCCCAAAAGCATATAGACTTTTCTCTCAAGTCTCCGTTTGGTGGGGGTCGTCCAGGACGTGTGAAGAGGAAGAACTTGCGGAAGGCCACAAGTGGAGGAGGTGCTGCTGACGAGGATGAGGATTAAATGTAAACATTGTCATGACATGTATTGTCAATAAAATCCATTGTGTATAATTTATGGTATTTTTTAATGAATTGCCTTGATTTTTTTTATGTTGCCAGAAAGGGCATTAATGGTCAATATATACTGCAGAAGTATAAGAAATCTGTTAGTTTAGATGTGAAGTTTTTGACTGTCCTTGGCCAGCAGCCAACTTCTGCTGGGATCCACCATTGTCCTGGATCTGTTTCTTCGTTAGTGCCCTACAGCTAAATATTGGTCTGCATGTCTTATCTTCCAGTGCTCTGTGGTCTGTTTGTTAGGGACTTCCTGATGCTTTGCTACAGCATCAGACTTCTCTCAATTGGCCTCCAGTTTTTTATATAGGCATTGGTTTGGCTATCATCTCTTGTTGGTTGGCCTTGATCTGGGAGGCAAGGGAACCCACCTAGACTTTAATATCCCCTTGTTTGTCGCCCATCTTGGCTTCCATCTTTCCTTGAATGTTTCTTATTTAAGCCAGCAGGTGTTCCAGCATTTGCTACATCTTCATAGTAAAAAAAAACCTGTGCTTTAGTGTGCAACCAAACTATACTGACCAACCACGACTTGTCAGCGAAGTTAGTTTCAATTTTATTGGATAGAAGATGTTGAATGGTCAGCGCGACAAATCCCCATGGCCGTGAATTTTGGTTTTCTAGCCAGGTGCAGCGTCATAGTATGGCAATATAACTTCCCACTCCAGTTTCATCAGTACAGTCCCACTTCTGACACCAGTTGTCACATGTGAGTGTGACCATAAACAGGGTCTGGATTGGTAATTTTATTTATGGAACAGTTACAGATCATAACTGCACATAACTATAGTGCTGTTGATAATTCACACGCTGTCTTCACCAGTCATTGCTTGGTAATGGCCACCAATGGCAGATGTTTCCCTTACTCAGGGTTTCCAAACTATTCCCATACCTCAGCTACCTGATTCTAACAGCAGCACCTTACAATGTCTAGTTATTAGTTATTTAGAGAGGGTGGGTTTCCCCATGCACCGCAACCAGTTTGATATATTGTGCTTCCCTCTGTGATATTCTACCAGTCTCTATACCCTACCGATAAATGGTGCGTACTATCAGTCCTGCCGAGCAAGCGAGTTCGGTTACTTGCTTAGCGGTGTCTATAATGCTTCCCCCATCTATCAGAGGCCTTAGAGACTATTGGGTGGAAAACATCCTGGAATTTGGCTCAGTGATCCCCTTTGGGGATATGAGGTTCTTTTACGTGCCGTAAAGTTACGACACGGGACACAGCTTAAAGTCCCTCCCGGAGGACTTGTTCCCTGAATTTTTCCACCCTTAAAAATTCGACGACCTCCGCCGGGTATTTGAACCCGCGTACCACGAGTCATGAGGTGGGAACGTTACCTCTAGACTACGGAGGCCGCTTTACAATGTCTAAACCATGGTTCTCTGAATAACTCGCTAATCAGCTGACTCAACTGAGTGAACTCACTCCTCGCTGTCATGCTTGTAACATCTCAGCATGGACCTTACAGAAAACAGCATTCCTCTGTTGCTGTTTAAGGGCCATTGTCTGGTTTGTTTCGTGGTTATTGCCTAGCAGTGGGTCTGTATACCATAGTATTCTTATAGAATTTAGGATACCCATGATATAAGTTATGCTGATTAAAATGTGTCTAAATGATATCTGTGTAGGTAAACATTTGATACGTTTTCGATCCAAAATTATCTCAAAGAGATGCTTTTCAACTTTGCTTTACAGTATGCCATTAGGAAGGGCCAGGTGGGACATATCAACTGCTGGTCTAAGCGATGTGCATCTTCTGGGAGATAATATAGATACTATAAAGAAAAACACAAAAACTTTCATAATTGTTGCTAGTAAGGAGGTTGGTATAGAAGTAAACATAGAGAAAACTATATGTTGCCATCTCATCACCAGAATGCAAGTCAAAATCATGACATAAAAGGTAGCTAACATCCTATGAAAATGTGCCACGGTTCAAATATTTAGAAACAGTACTTACTCATGGAGCTGCCAATTCTGCAGCTACTCAAGAATTTCCCAGCATTTTATGGAACCCAAAGGTTCATTACTGTGTTCACAAGAGCCCTCCACTGGTCCCTATCCTGAGCCAGATCAATCCAATAAATACCATCCCATGCTGTCTCTCTAAGATTCATTATAATATTGTCCACCCACCTACACCCTGGTCTTCCCAGTGGTCTCTTTC